CTTAACTGGACTCATCCTTATATCAATCCATGGGGCACTTGACGTTGACCTCGCAAAGTTATTTCACATTTTGTAAAATATCGCCAAGCAGAAATTTGTTTCCCAGTAATTGGCTACACCAGATCTAGGAAACTGACCATGAAAATCCAGTAATTAATGTTAGTTGTATTATGAATAATTTCATTATGGTTACATAAGAGGATATTAAATTTTCAATTTTATTTGGTGCTGTTGAGTGTACTTTACCTCTTTTAGTCTCTGGTTGAGTAAATGTACAGCAATGTACTGTACTGTACTGTACAGGAGCTTTATAATGTTTTGGTTTACAACCTACTGTACTGGTTATTTTATGCTAAAAATTATTCACCACAATAAAACGCACATAATTAAATGATTCTTTGTTTATACGTCTGAACGTGATACCACCTCGCATCTAAACTTACCTAACTGTACTAAACAGAAAGTATTGTACATATTTTAATGTCTGGTACCAATGAAAACAACTTTGATAAAGAAAGAATCATGGTGTAATTTTAGTTATTTTATGGAGGTCAGGTTACGGGTGTTGGTTCTCAACAAACTGAGCAGATGAGAAAATGCGTCAACTCAACAAATTTGTCATAGGAGTATTATTTACGGGAAATAATTAAGTTCTTCACATACAGAACAGAAAAAGACATCATTTTGGTGTTATATTATCAGTGTGTCTTCATGTTCACTGACGACTGTTAGTAGCAACAGTAAGCTATCTAGAGAGCAACAGTCAGTAGCAAGAGTCAGTCATCAGGACAGCAACAGTCAGTCATCAAAACAGCAAGTCAGTCACAAGAGAGCAACAGTCAGTAGCAAGAGTCAGTCATCAGGACAGCAACAGTCAGTCATCAAAACAGCAAGAGTCAGTCACAAGAGAGCAACAGTCAGTAGCAAGAGTCAGTCATCAGGACAGCAACAGTCAGTCATCAAAACAGCAAGTCAGTCACAAGAGAGCAACAGTCAGTAGCAAGAGTCAGTCATCAGGACAGCAACAGTCAGTCATCAAAACAGCAAGAGTCAGTCAGAAGAGAGCAACAGTCAGTAGCAAGTCAGTCATCAGGACAGCAGAGTCAGTCATCAAAACAGCAAGAGTCAGTCACGAGGCAACAGTCAGTAGCAAGGAGTCAGTCATCAGGACAGCAAGCCAGTCATCAGGACAACAAGTCAGTCATCAGGACAACAATTAATGAGAGTCAGTCATCAGGACAGCAAGCCGGTCATCAGGACAACAAGTCAGTCATCAAGACAGCCAACAACCCAGTCATTCGTAAGGACAACAGTTAGTCATCAGGACCCAGCAAGCCAGTCATCAGGACGAAAGTCAGTCATCAAGGAATAGCAACAATCAGTAGCGAGTCAGTCATCAGGACGGCAAGGTCAGTCATCAAGACAGCAAGAGTCCAGTCATCAAGACAACAACAGTCAGTCATCAAGACGTAACAGTCGGTCATCAAGACAACAACGGTCAGTCATCAAGACAACAGCAACAGTCAGTCATCGAACCAGCAACAGTCGATCATCAGACGGGCAACAGTCAGTCATCAGGACAGCAACAGTCAGTCATCAGGACAGCAACAGTTAGTCATCAGGACAGCAAGCCAGTCATCAGGACAACAAGTCAGTCATCAAGACAGCAACAGTCAGTCATCAGGACAGCAACAGTTGGTCATCAGGACAGCAAGCCAGTCATCAGGACAGGAAGTCAGTCATCAAGACAACAGTCATTCATCAAGGATAACGTTGTAGTCATCAGGACAACAAGCCAGTCATCCAGGACAGGAAGTCAGTCATCAAGATAGCAACAATCAGTGGCAAGAGTCAGTCATCAGGACAGCAAGGTCAGTCATCAAGACAACGAGAGTCAGTCATCCAAGACAACAACAGTCAGTCATCAAGACAGCAACAGTCAGTCATCAAGACAACAACGGTCAGTCATCAGACAGCAACGATTCAGTCATCAAGACAGCAACAGTCAGTCATCAAGACAGCAACAGTCAGTCATCAAGACAGCAACAGTCAGTCATCAAGACAGCAACAGTCAGTCATCAAGACAGCAACAGTCAGTCATCAGGACAGCAACAGTTAGTCATCAGGACAGCAAGCCAGTCATCAGGACAGGAAGTCAGTCATCAAGATAGCAACAATCAGTAGCAAGAGTCAGTCATCAGGACAGCAAGAGTCAGTCATCAAGACAACAAGAGTCAGTCATCAAGACAACAACAGTCAGTCATCAAGACAGCAACAGTCAGTCATCAAGACAGCAAGAGTCAGTCATCAAGACAGCAACAGTCAGTCATCAAGACAGCAACAGTCAGTCATCAAGACAGCAACAGTCAGTCATCAAGACAGCCACTTACGTAATAGGGACCACGTTCTTCTTCCTGCCGCAGCGTGTGGTAAAAATATAACCCTCGATGGCGATGAAGAGAAACTGGCAGCAGGTGATGATGTTTCCACTGCTGGGCTCATCCCTGTAAATAACGCATTACTGTATTATTAGCATCTCTCACTACACTAAGGCAAGTTAACATACACAAGCCAACCAACAACAAGTGCTGGACAACTGAAACTAAAGACTTAACTTACTTTTATTTCATTTCTTAATAGTCCACCATAGTTTCACAGTCTGTGAGGTTACATATTTATTTTATTTATTAGTATAATGTTTATTTATTCCTCACATTTGCTGGTACATCGTGCCTTTCCAAAATTTGCGGGAGTTAAGTTCTCAAAATGGCCGCGAATTGCCAAATCCGCGAATAACATTTGCTTTTTATTCACTGACCGGAAGAGGGAGGGGTTACATATTTACTTGTGTGCAAAGAAATGTATATTCCCTTTATGTGTTTGCCCTTAGGACAATTATTTCTTTTACCCGAAGTGTACATACTCTATATGTGTGTATATGTGTGTTTGTGTGTGTGTGTGTGTGTGTGTGTGTGTAAACACACGCACAAAACACATACAGTAAGATCTCATATTTTGCGTTTTTGAATTTTGCGAGCACTACCTAATGTAACCAAGTCTTATATTTGGAGTAAAACACAGTGAGTTTTGGGAGATCCTGCCAGCCGAACGCTGGCCACAGTTTTGAATGATGTCACAACCCAACCGTCACGCCATCCGACCGACCCCCCGGGCTGTTATTGTACACGTTTTTTGTTGGTGCTACCACCTGTCGAGTCAAGATAATGGCCTCTACTGGGGGTCCTACTGGTACTGGTGGGGGTGGGACAGACCCACCTAAGCAGCCAAATAAGGAAAAGGAGAACTGGGACTATCATAAGGGAGTTAAGTTTGCCAAGTACTCGATGCAGGAAAGCACAATCAGGTCAATAAAGGTAAAGAAAGATGAGATAAAGAAGTCTTTAGGAGTGGCAAAGAAGTTCTTTGGTGGAAATGTTGGTGCGTCAAATAGAGTTGTGCATGAATCCTCTGAGAAAACCAGGCTGATAGCTATGACAGAATATTTTTTGAGCAAGTGGCTTGTCCACCGTGTGACAGAAAATGCAAGTGTTGATGGATCACAAATTCGAGACCAAGGCCCGATCTTTTATGCTGCAATATGTCGCAAGAAAAACACAAATAATCCCCCTCAATTTGGTGCTTCTGTTGGCTGGCTGGCAAACTTTAAGAGACGCTGTGGTGTGAAATATGCACTGTACCGCGGAGAAGTTTCCTCTGCAGACGAGGTGGCCGCAAGTTCATTCCCAGAGATAGCAAAGCAACTTGTAGAAGAAGGCAGATACTCGTTGGATCAAATTTCTCGTTGGATCAAATTTATAAATGTGATGAAACTGTTCTACTGGAAGCAATTTCCCCGTACTACTTTTATATCAGAGGATGACAAACAGGCACGTGGGGTTAAGAAGACCGACTCACTGCTTTACTAACACAGATGCATCAGGTCAGCATAAGATGAAGCCCTTAGTTATCTACCAATCAAAGAAGCCTCGTGCCTACCACAATTTTGACGCGAAATATTTCCCATGAGTGGTTTGACGAGTGTTTTGTGCCCGACTCTCGACGTAACTGCCGGAACTTGAATTTATATTTTAAAGTGCTTCTATTTATGGACAATGCTCCTGGCCATGCCCGGTTGGCAGACACCCTAATGTTCAGGTGGTGTTCCTGCCCCCCCCCAACACAACCTCCTTACTGCAACCACTTGATCAAGAAATAATTACCAACGTGAAGTTGCTTTACTATAAGGCAGTTTATGACAGAATGAGGAAAGCCACAGACTCTCAAGATGAAGTGAACGAACTCAACAACACTAATGATAGCGATGTGGAAGACGATCCTGCTTCAGTCTCTGGCAACTCCCCCACCTTGAAGCAAGACCCTGCTAGCAACTCCTGTAGTAACATCACTCAACAGAATGTGCTCTCTGTCAAGCAATTCTGGAAGCAATTTCATATTCGAAGTGCTGTTAACCACATGGTAGCCGCATGGAACAAAATCACATTGGCAACCATTAAACATGCTTGGAAACCCCTCTTCCCACACCCGAGTAATGCAAGGTCGGCTGTGCAGCGTCGGGCGGATTTATTAGAAGCTGCGGTAGAAAGTGCAAGGAGCGTCCCAGCAGCTGGTTTCCGTGAAGTGGATGCAGAACGGATCGACGAGATGCTTAAGGGGAATAATGAAGAAATGATGGATGATGTGGCCGAGTCATCTGACGAGGCAGGTGAAGGCGACGCTGAAGAGAAATGCAAGATCACAGCCAGCAAGTTGTCTCTGATACTGAACACTTGTTCGAACCTTCAAGAACTGGTTGATGAGTTGTCGGAGAATGAGCGTGCATCACTGGTGAGCAAAGTGGAGGCCATCACTAACACATTTATGCCAAGATACCAGCGAAAGATAAACTAACGCCAGCAGTCACTAATCACGCGGTACCTCACACCACGCCGACTCGTTAGTGATGCACTCCAGAACATACTGTAGATGTTGGAGAAGAGGTGAAGGAGGAAACACAGGACTTGCCAGATATTACCACAGAGGACTTCCTAGGATTTGAACCAGGAGAGCCGGGGAGGTGGCTCCAACTAGCCTACCCATCTACAGCCTCAGATATCCAACATCACCCAAGCTCATCAAGTTTGGGCTAACTGGTAAGTGCTACTGTATTTTTTAAGTGTTTATACATTGTTTAATAATGATTTATCTTTATCTGCTGAATTTGTATCATCTGGAGGTTATAAATGGGTATAATGGCCCCTGTCTTATCAACAGAAGTATTATATAAATAGGTTCATTACATTTGATTTAAATACTGATTCACCCCCTGTAACTTTCCACTTGCCATGAGTTGTCATGCTCATATCACGTGAATGGTAGCCTCCTTTGGGTGCGGCCCATTTGACTATATGTCAGCACATGGGTCAGCTCGGAATAAGCCGGCACCCACGGCAGTCACACTCATAACCTCACATCGAACGGACGTGATTAAACGGTCTATTTACATAGCCGCCGTCCTCTCCCATCACACTCATAAATGGTGGAAGTTACGGTTGATCTACACTCAGGAATTATATAAACAATACTTATTAATAAAAGCAGAAACTACAATTGGGTTTCGCTACTCTTACCCAATATAATATATGTCTAGGCCCATATGCTTTGTGGCTAGAACATGGGAAAATCAGAGGTTGATGTAGTGTGGCCAGTCTATGTTGTTATTTTTACCTTTAGTTTATGTACAGTCATGCGCCGGTTAACGTCCTATATACGTTCTTGGAAACGTGACGTTAACCGAAATGGACGTTGTCCGATTATCACATAAACTTTTCATTTATACTTATGTGTATGTGGAATACTATATATGTACATATACACTTTTACTGTTAAATCACTACTGTACTGTAATGTGATACAGGTGATTAATTTTTATCTCTTGTGCAAAATACATGACGTTTATATTAAAATTATTCATTGTTTTACAAGGATTCCAGCAACGCCGAGCAGATGGGGAAGAGGGAGGGAGCGAGCAAGGGGGCGTGGGGGGAGGGGAGGTAGTACGTTTGACAGTTGGCACAGGTCCAGGTCTAACGCGTGTATATTTATCAGTTCTTAAGTGACTAAGCTTCTCTCTTATAAAAAGCCAGTGAAATGACCTGGGTGAATATAATTAACATAGCTGGGATTCTTGTAACATACTGATTAATTTGAATATAAACATGCTATAATTTGCACTAGACTAAACAATTTTAGTACCGTAATCAAATTAGTACATGTGCACTCCAGCTTTGCACTAAGGTCATTTACAGTATTTCTTTTGCATTTCTTTTAGTATGGTGTGTGCATGTAAATGTATGAAAATAAATGAAGAAATTTATGTAAATCTATCCAAAAATACAGTAGAAATTTTTTATATAAAATGTACTTCAGTATTGTACACTAATGATCTACACTTTTTATATCTTGAGCAAAATATATGACGCTTATATTCAAATTAATCTCTGTCTTGCAAGGATTTCAGCAATGCAAATTATATTATCCTAACTTTAGTCTGAGATATTATATAAAATAAACAAAGAAATCACCAATCTTTTGTCTGGGAGGGAGGGGGCGGGAGGTGAGGTGACAGAATGTCTGCCGTTTGTTTGTTTATTTATTTGAGATAAGATTTGACAGTTGGCGCTGAAGGCCTGCCTGCGTGTTTATTTATCATTGCTTAAGAGTGACTAAGCTCTTCTCATAATTTTCCACCCAAACGACCTGGGTGAATATAACTTACATTGGAGGGATTCTTGTAAGATAGTAATTTATTTGAATGTTTTTTTTTTCAATTTAAATTTTAATTGTTTATTCCTTGATGGAGGAAGCGGGATCCTAGTGCTGTCACTTGGTACCCCTGTACCATAACACCAGAAGCAACTGGCCAGTGTCACAAGTATATACAATCATCCCTTGGTTATCGCGCCTAATTGGGACCCCGCCGATAACGAAAGTACAGAACCTACGGGATTTATTCTAATTGGTTCATTTACCCAAGACCCAACCCCAAGTTTCCCATTTAACGACCATTTAGACCCACTAAATATATATATAATGTTATGGTAAATATCATAAACACACATGGGCATGGCTAGGTTTATTACAGTGATGAAAAGGGTACGCTTAATACTGTAGTCCACAAAACATGTAGCTATGCTTTTTTATTTGGTCCCCCGTCATACAGTCCGTTTTCTCTAACATCAGGACGCCTGAGTCCTCCGATTTCTCTCTTAATCTTAGAGTGCACCAGAGACTTTACTATTTTTAGTAATGCCACAGAATTTGAAATGTCTGATTACAGCAAATGTGTTATTGTCAATTTGTAGGTGAAAGATTTTATCCTCAATAGATGTAGGTTAACATTACACCTGGAGGCAAATGCTTAAAAAAAAGCCTAAGGAAGGAAGCATATTCCTTTAACACATAATTATCTGACCAGTATGGGGAGGATCATCGTGTCTCCGTCAGG